TCCCGTAGTGGTCACACAGAGGATCTCAATGGTCCATTATTCAGGAGTCATCTCTTCACTTATTTATATAGGATTTTTTACATACCAGTTTTGTATTTATTGGACACACAAGGTGTGTCTGCGTTATATTAATCAGAGGAATAGGTGATATCGGAAGGATTATAATGAATACTAAAAATGACTAATCAGCGGCTCGTATCATTATAAGAATTATTGTTTAATATTTTATACCCTGTGATGGGGTCTGTGGAAAAAAATCCACTTTATATCTGTTCAGGTCACATGACTTGTATGAGGCAAACTCAAAAGTATCTACATTGGCCCCTGTGTTCAATAGCAGAATCTGGACTATCAATGAATGAGGTGCTTCCCTGCACATGCAGACATAAACCGACATGTGAAACTAGGCAACATTTCAAAAACAAGCCAGTTTAACGGACCTGACTTCTGCCTCCTTCACAATAAACTCCACCGTTTTATCAAGTAATGCTGTTGAACATATATTGGGGGGCGGGGGTGATAGACAGGTGTTCCTACAGATGGGCGGTGCCATCACATGCATGGCTTCACAACTGGCTTCTCGTTTTTGGATGGGACAGAGAAAATGGCCGCTACCATGGGCTGTGCATAGTGGGTGGTGTGCAATGTAAAACACAAAGTTCCCCAGGACTCATCAACCTGCCAGGACAGATACACAGAGATCGGGTTATCATCACAAAGGATGAAGCACTGGCAGAACATGCTCAGGTCTACTTGGTACTACTACTCTCCTTCTATAAGGAAAAATTGGGGATCCTCGCCTGTAGGTAGAAAGACTCCCAGTGACCCCAATGTGTGAAGGGGCCTTTATGCGTGGGATGAAGTCCCGCTGGACCCACCTGATGTCATTCATTATGCTATAGGGTTAGGGTGATAGGGCCAGGAAAGTTCAGTTCATGGTAAGACTTGAAATCATTGCTTGGTTACTGTGGCACATAGGACATCGGGGTGTTCTCCATCTCACGCTCTGATCTCTTGTGTAGATTACATTTCCCTGATCTGGATGCAGGATGAACTTTCATACTTACCCCGGCCAATCAGAAGCCTTACTATGGACTGTTCTAATGTTACTGTCTGGTGTTCTCTGCTTAGCAAGGCCATGGACAGGTCTACACATTGACAACTCCATGTGAGTGTATACTATTGGTTTGGAATAGTGCGCTAGTTATTACTCCCTATAGTGAAAGAGAAGCAGCGAGACCTCATCCGGGATTGAGGTTCCATGTATGAATTGTTGCTGTGCCAGCCGTATGGACCAACTAGCATGGCATTCCGTGTTTGTTTTTCCATGTATTGTTATGTCTGGAGGGGAAAGGCCAGCAGCATTGCCAATGAGCATAGTAGAGGGAACGCCATGCACAATCAATTCACAAAGATTTTCAGACATCTAATAGGAGAATTGTGATGACCTGAAGCTCGGTAGAAGTTGGTGGTTTAGCAGGAGAAGGTCCTGAAACAGAATGAAATGAACAGAAGAAAACGTATCTTCCAGAATGGCCAAGTCAGCGTCTTGGACTGAACCCAAGTGAGATATTGTGACCTTAGCCAAAGACATCTGTTCCTGCAAGGAATCCCAGCAATGAGCTGGAACACGCTTCTGCAGAGATAAATGTCTCCTAACTTCGAGTCTGCTGGAGGGAATTCTGACTATTAGATGTTCTGGCAGTTTCCAGTGTCATGGGTTCACATACTTTTTCCATCCTAGACTCTGAATGTTTAAAACAGACATTTGAAGGAGCTCTGTCGTTGTGGTTGATTTACTAATGGAGTAGAGTATGGTCACTTTTCAAGGTGATTTTTTGCTTAGTGAATGAGCTGAGGCTAAGTGAACATGATCTACTAATTTAGTTATTGCGCTTTTATTCCTTTAGATGTTTGTCTATTACTGACTATTCTAGGATTTGGGGCCATTTATGCAGAAATGTCAGACATTTTGATTCTACAAGTTTTATAAACTAATTTTTGTTGCTGTTAATTAAATGTAAAGGATTTGGAGGCGGAGCTTGTTCATTCTCATGTCATATTCATACATACATGACTGCAGCTCTTGTATGTATTTGCTATCTGATGTCCTAGTTCAGGGGTCAGCAACCTACGGCTCCGGAGCTACATGTGGCTCTTTCATCCCTCTGCTGCGGCTCCCTGTCCAGGGGCGGAACTACCGCCGGGGCCTGAGGCTGTGGGGGGGCCCAGTGAGGTCCGGTCCTGGGCCACCCCCTAGTGGAATATGCGGCAGTGCAGGGCCCCGCACTGCCGACCCGCTTCTCAACAAGGGGGCGGGTCCTGTGACTCACCTCCTCTCCTGGCTTCATCCCTAGTAACAGGCGGTGGGAGAAGTGTGTGTACGGCCGGTACCCATGTGAGGGGTCTGGGCAGCCTGGGGGGCCTCTTACATGAGTATCAGCTGTACCAGGGGCGGCATGGCAGAGGTGACGGGAGGGTGGAGGAGGCCAGGCCACAGCAGCAGGTAAGAGGAGTTGGGAGGAGGTGCAGGAAAAGGGACCCCGGTGACCAGTCCACCTGAGGCCCTGCAGAGCCCACCATAGAGAGTCTCAGATGGGCTGTGCAGGACCTATGGTGTGCTCTGCAGGGTCACTCTCAGGTGGGCTCTGTGGTGTCTCAGGTAAGTCCAGAGTCCAGTGCGTTACTAAGCCCAGAGTCCAGTGCGTTACTAAGCCCAGAGTCCAGTGCGTTACTAAGCCCAGAGTCCAGTGCGTTACTAAGCCCACATATACCTATATACAAGCTATACATAGCATAAAGGTAATAAACAATATATTCCGTGTTATCTTCATTTTAGATGTCAAAGGGGTTTTCTTTTCTATGGGAAACGGGTCCAAATGGCTCTTTGAGTGTTTAAGGTTGCTGACCCCTGACCTAGAGGAATGATTTGACATATATACAGAATGGGGCCGCCATATCTGCTCATTGATTGTGCTTTACTGCTCCTCCTTACAAGTCTATGAGTTTGCTGACACATGGAGTTATTTCAGTTCCTAATTTACAAATCATACAAACACATGGAACGGCAAGCTGATGACAAATGAAGGCAAGCGCTGCAATAATAGCTCGAAATAAGCGCTAAGTTCACGTTACATAAAGGAACAGGCGCACTTTCTTCACTGACAAAGAGGCAAAAACAAGACACGTCCTTTGTTCTTATTATGATTGGCAATCGCTGCTCCGATCACACCACGCAATCAGCATTTCCCTGTGTACGCAGACAGAACTATATAGCAATGGCCAATCCCAATCCATCGGTCACAAATCACAGATCTGATTGGCTGCTCTAGTTTATTGGATAGAATAACCCTTCTGGACCCCATAGTTGTGTCTCCTGTTCCCGCTCTTGAGGTTGGCAACGTGGAGCCGCGGGATCGGATGGCAGCTGCTTCTGCTGACACAGAATGACAAATGGCCACACACTTATAAATAACCGTCTTTATTTAGAATACTATGGAAGTCATCCGTGGGATTCACGCCGTATAAATATATAAAGTTAGCATTTGGCACAACACAACGAAGCAAAAATTAAATATCTGTCCCTGTGCAGGACAACTCTTATTTACAATCATATAAAAAATCTTACAAAAGTGGTCCACAAACTTGTCCTCTCTTAGTACAGTGACCAGGCTGCCATCTATGGGGTGAGGATAAAGGAGGGTACACCCTACAGGCTGGCATCTATGGGGTGAGGGTAAAGGAGGGTACACCCTACAGGCTGGCATCTATGGGGTGAGAGTAAAGGAGGGTACACCCTACAGGCTGCCATCTATGGGGTGAGGATAAAGGAGGGTGCACCCTACAGGCTGGCATCTATGGGGTGAGGATAAAGGAGGGTACACCCTACAGGCTGCCATCTATGGGGTGAGGGTAAAGGAGGGTACACCCTACAGGCTGGCATCTATGGGGTGAGGATAAAGGAGGGTACACCCTACAGGCTGCCATCTATGGGGTGAGGGTAAAGGAGGGTACACCCCACAGGCTGGCATCTATGGGGTGAGGATAAAGGAGGGTACACCCTACAGGCTGCCATCTATGGGGTGAGGATAAAGGAGGGTACACCCTACAGGCTGGCATCTATGGGGTGAGGGTAAAGGAGGGTACACCCTACAGGCTGGCATCTATGGGGTGAGGATAAAGGAGGGTACACCCTACAGGCTGGCATCTATGGGGTGAGGATAAAGGAGGGTACACCCTACAGGCTGGCATCTATGGGGTGAGGGTAAAGGAGGGTACACCCTACAGGCTGGCATCTATGGGGTGAGGATAAAGGAGGGTACACCCTACAGGCTGGCATCTATGGGGTGAGGATAAAGGAGGGTACACCCTACAGGCTGGCATCTATGGGGTGAGGGTAAAGGAGGGTACACCCTACAGGCTGGCATCTATGGGGTGAGGATAAAGGAGGGTACACCCTACAGGCTGGCATCTATGGGGTGAGGGTAAAGGAGGGTACACCCTACAGGCTGGCATCTATGGGGTGAGGGTAAAGGAGGGTACACCCTACAGGCTGCCATCTATGGGGTGAGGATAAAGGAGGGTACACCCTACAGGCTGGCATCTATGGGGTGAGGATAAAGGAGGGTACACCCTACAGGCTGGCATCTATGGGGTGAGGGTAAAGGAGGGTACACCCTACAGGCTGGCATCTATGGGGTGAGGGTAAAGGAGGGTACACCCCACAGGCTGGCATCTATGGGGTGAGGATAAAGGAGGGTACACCCTACAGGCTGGCATCTATGGGGTGAGGATAAAGGAGGGTACACCCCACATACAGCACTCTGCCATCACCCTGGCCTGGGTATTCACATAAGAAGAGTCCAATAGAAAACAAAGATCCAGCAAATGTCCACGACTGGCGATAAGATCTGCGGTGCCCCCGGGAAATGGCTACAGATGTGCGGATCCTGTACAATGCAGAATAAATAATGGGGCGATGGGGGGCACAGACGGTAACCTTATAAGACCTGGTAGATGGAGCTGCTGCTGTCTTGGGGGATCTGTGTGCAGCCACTAGGAGAAGGGACACCATTGCTCCTGTCATTGCTCAGTGCCTCCCCCTGCAGGGGCGAGCAGGAACTGCCTTCACTTTCCACAGATGGCAGCATGCCACAAGCTGCGTTTTCTGTCGTAATTCTCTCCACAATGCTGGACAGGCAATCCAAGCTGGAGACCACCGAATTCTTCCCGGGTCTGGTGTCTGAAACGGAGACAAAACGTCAGTGGAAGAAGGAAGATTAGAGGAGAATCATTCTTATCAGGGGGAGGGGAAGAGAGAGGGAGAGAGAGGGAGAGGGGGAGGAGAGAGAGAGAGGAGAGAAGAGAGAGAGGAGAGAGAGGGGGATAGAGACCACAGAGAGAGAGAGAGAGAGAAGAGAGGGAGAGAGAAGAGAGGGAGAGAGAGAGAGGAGGGAGAGAGGGAGAGAGAAGAGAGAGAGGGAGGAGAGAGGGAGAGAGAGAGAAGAGAGATAGATAGACAGACAGACATGTAGGCACATACCGTTGGTGCTGTCAGAATAGTAGTTGCTATCATAGCTGTTCCTCCTCCTGCTGGCACACTGGGAACGTCCTCTGTAGTCTACCTGTGAAGAAGGAGGACACTGATCAGCCTGAGTTCGGAGTTTGCCCCTTTGCCCCGAGTTAGGGTGTGACTGGCCCTTTAATTGCTTTCTGTCTTTACTAATCAGAAATGTCTCCACTTGTGTGAGGATTCCAGAGGAGATTCTTCTGCTTTCTCATCATTCACATGAACATCCCAACCCGATCACCAGGCCATTCCCTCTACACTGCATCATACCTCTATGTCACACCTCCCTGCTCCCTCACCATGCCTCCCTCCATCTCCTGCTCCCTCACCATGCATCCTTCCATCTCCTGCTCCCTCACCATACCTCCCTCCATTTCCTGCTCCCTCACCATACCTCCTTCCATCTCCTGCTCCCTCACCATGCCTCACTCCATCTCCTGCTCCCTCACCATGCCTCCCTCCATCTCCTGCTCCCTCACCATGCCTCCCTCCCTCTCCTGCTCCCTCATCCCAACTCCCTCCATCTCCTGCTCCCTCACCATGCCTCCATCCATCTCCTGCTCCCTCCTCATACCTCCTTCCATCTCCTGCACCATCACCATACCTCCCTTTATCACCTGCGTTCCCATCACACCTCCCTCCATCTCCTGCTCCCTCACCATACCTCCTTTCATCTCCTGCACCCTCACCATACCTTCTTCCATCTCCTGCTCCCTCACCATACCTCCTTCCATCTCCTGCTCCCTCCTCATACCTCCTTCCATCTCCTGCTCCCTCCTCATACCTCCCTTTATCACCAGCGTTCCCATCACACCTCCCTCCATCTCCTGCTCCCTCACCATACCTCCTTCCATCTCCTGGTCCCTCACCATACCTCCTTCCATCTCCTGCTCCCTCACCATACCTCCTTTCATCTCCTGCTCCCTCACCATACCTCCTTTCATCTCCTGCACCCTCACCATACCTCCTTTCATCTCCTGCTCCTTCACCATACCTCCCACCTTCGTCTACATCCTAACTATACCTTCCTCTATCTCCTTCTCACTCACCATACCTCCTGCCTTCTGCTACTTCCTCTCCATTTCCTGCTCCCCTGTGATATCTCCCTCCATCTCCCGCTTCCCTATCATACTGGTGCCTCATTCCATCTCCCATTGCCTCATGGTTCTTTCCATGTCCTGGTACCTCATGCCTCTTTTTATCCCCCTGAGTCTCCCTCCGTGACCTAATGCCTCTCTTTATGTCATGATTTTTTTTTTCTCCCTCCATTCAAGGCTGACCTGATACCTCTCTCTAACCCCTAGTGCCCCATGACTCCCTACATCCCAGATAGCAAGGATAACTTGCCACAAACTTGTGTCGGGATGAAATTGTAATTTGTGTTAACTCGCTGCGCACATTCCCGGCAGGTTGTAGACTCGCAGAACACTCGCAGCAGCACAAGTTCTCGGCGACACTTTTTGAATTTGTAGCAAATTTGCTCTGCAAGTCTCCAGCGAGAGTCCCGCAGGTCTGAGGAAGAGCTCCGCAAGCTCGCTGGTCTGGAGACTTGCTGTAATTGTGCAACAAAATTGTGAAGCTCGGCGAGTCTGCGATAGTTCAGCGAGTCATTTTCAAACTTGCAGCACAATTGCTTGCTATCTGGGATGCTGCTTTCATTCCCTGGTGTCATCCCATGCTCCTTTCAATCCCCTCATAGTGCCTCATTCCTCCTCCCATCCCCTGGTTTCTCTGTCCAGAGCATAGTGGCATATGTCTCCCTTCATGCCCATCCCTCATGCACCCTTTCCAGCCTCAGTGCCTCCCACTATGTCCTGTACCTCCTTCCATCTCATAGTGTCTCAAGCCTCCCTCAATGCCCAAGTGCAGCATGCCTCTTCCCATCACCTAGCATCCCTTCATGCCTCCTTCCACCCTTGTGCCTCTGCCTATCTCATAGTGCCTCATGCCTCCCTCCATGCTCCAGTTATTCATGCTTCCTTCCATCCCAGGTGCCGCTGTCTGTCTCCTAGTGCCTCCTTCCATCCCAGGTGCCGCTGTCTGTCTCCTAGTGCCTCCTTCCATCCCAGGTGCCGCTGTCTGTCTCCTAGTGCCTCCTTCCATCCCAGGTGCCGCTGTCTGTCTCCTAGTGCCTCCTTCCATCCCAGGTGCCGCTGTCTGTCTCCTAGTGCCTCCTTCCATCCCAGGTGCCGCTGTCTGTCTCCTAGTGCCTCCTTCCATCCCAGGTGCCGCTGTCTGTCTC